GCAGCGGATAGAACACCCGCCTTGGAGTCAGGAGGATCTGAGGTCAAATCTGGCTTAGACCAGACACTTGACACTTACTGGCTGTCTGATTGTAGGCAAGTCACTTAGCCCCAATTGCCTAAAAACCAAAACCAAAAACAAAAAAGAGTAAAGGGATTCAGTTTTAAAATTTACCTCTCTTGATTCTGCCATGCAAGTTGTTGAACATTTATTCTAAGCACCTCTGTACTGTGTCTGTACTGTGTACACCTATCCTTGAGGCCACAAATGAATAAATTCTGGTAGTGTACTTGGTATTGTGTTCCTAGATATTTTTATATCATAATAAACAAACAACTCACATTAAATGCTTTTACAGTTTTTAAAGTGCTTTTTGACTCATAATCCTGTATGGTAGTTAGCATAAGTATTATTATTCTTGTACAGGGCATGAAAAAATCAGATGTCAGTCAGTAATTTGTTGCTGATTGATTATACTTTTAGTAGAGATTAGAGTTTTCCGTGTGTTACCTCAACCAACATTTGTGTTTTATATTTTTTATTTCACTGTGGAATTCCATTAAAGGAATTTTATGCATCAGTATGCAGATGATCGGGTTTGGGGATGGGATAAGAAGGATTACTGCTAATTTTGGTCCTGAAGATAAACTTTTCCTAATTCTTTGAAGTTCTCCTTACTTTCCCAACTGCCCCTGGTTCCTGGTAGGATATGTTGGTTGTAGTTTTTTTTTCTTTTGGGGCAGGGGGATAAGGTGGGAAAAACCTTTTTGGCACTGACTTCTTTTATGTAAATTTTTAGATTTTTCTAAAGGTCCTAAATCAATTTCTAAACTCTCATTCTTTTTGTGAAAAACTTTTCATATTCCATAGGAGAAATAACCTTTCTTTCCAAAATCATTTTGTTAAATATGAAAAGCATACGTATCTGATCCTGAAAGTGTGGAAATATTTTTGCAAAGCACAAACTGGGGAGGGGTAATTAACATTTTGAAAGGCATTGATAATTAGTGATTTCCTGTATTAAAGAGCATGTAGGCAATTGGTTGGTGCAGTAAATCTCTGAGCCTGGAGTCAGGAAAACCACAATTCAGATGTAGCCTTTGACATTTATCAGCTGTGTAACCCTAGGCAAATCACTTAATTTCTGTTTGCCTCATTTTCCTCATCTGTGAAGGATAATAATAGCATTTACCTCCCAGGGTTGTTGTGGTGATCAAATGAGATTTTTTAAGAATTAGTTTATTTTGAATTATCAACAATCATTTCTATAAGCTTTTGAGTTTAAAATTTTTTTTTTCTTTTTGCTAGGCAATTGGGGTTAAGTGCCTTGCCCACGGTTACACAGCTAGTAAATGTTATGTGTTGTGTGTCTGAGGCCAGATTTGAACTCAGGTCCTCCTGACTCCAAGGCCAGATCTCTATCCACTGTGCCACCTAGCTGCCCCGAGTTTTAAATTTTTCTCCCCCTTCCTCCCCTCCTCATTTCCCAAAACAGTGAGCAATCTGATATAGGCTATACATATACATTGCTATTAAACATATTTTCACATTGGTGATGTTGTAAGTAAGAATTAGAATTAATAGGAGAAACCACCAGAAAGGAAACAAAACACAACAGAAGAAAAAAAATAGCAAATAGTATGCTTCAATCTACATTCAAACTCCATAGTTCTTTCTTTGGATGTGGATAGCATTTTCAATCATGAGGCTTTTTTTTTTATTTAGGCAGTTGGGGTTAAGTGACTTGCCCAAGGTCACATAGCTAGTGTCAAGTATTTAGTCCGAGGCTGGATTTGAACTCAGGTACTCCTGACTTCAGGGTGCTCTATCCACTGCGCCACCTAGCTACCCCTCATCATGAGGCCGTTGGCAATATCTTAGATCCTTGTATTGCTGAGAAAGGTTAGGTCTATCAGTATTAGTCATCGCACAATATGGCTGTTACTGTGTATAACATTCTGCAGGTTCTGCTCACTCTCAGCATCAGACCATACAAGTCTTTCCAGGTTTTTCTGAAGTAAGCCTTTTCATCATTTCTTATAGCACAGTAGTATTCCATTACATTCATATACCACAGCTTGTTCAGCCATTCCCCAATTGATGGGCATCTTCTCAATTTCCAATTCTTTGCCACCACAAAAAGAGCTGCTATAAATATTTTTGTACTTTGTGGGTCCTTTTCCCATTTGTATTATCTCTTTGAGATATAGCCCTAGAAGTGCTATTGCTGGGTCAAAGGGTATGCACATTTTTATAGCTCTTTGGGCATAGTTCCAAATTGCTCTCCAAAATGGTTGGATCATTTCACAACTCCACCAACAATGCATTAGTGTTCCAATTTTCCCACATCTTCTCCAACATCTGTCATTGTCCTGTTGGCCAATCTGATAGGTGTGATGTGGTACCTCAGAGTTGTTTTGATTTGCTTTTCTCTAATCAATAGTGATTTAGAGCATTTTTTCATGTGACTATAGATGGTTTTAATGTCTTCATCTGAGAACTACCTGTTTGTATCCTTTGACCATTTATCAATTGGGGAATGACTTGTATTCTTATAAATTTCACTTAATTCTCTGTATATTTTAGAAATGAGGCCCTTATCAGAGAGACTGGTTATAAAAATTCTTTCCTAGTTTTCTACTTTCCTTCTAATCTTGGTTTCATTGGCTTTGTTTGTGCAAAAACTTTTCAATTTAATATAATCAAAGTTATCTACTTTGCATTTCATAATGTCCTCTATCTCCTTTTTGGTCATGAATTCTTCTGTTCTCCATAAATCTGATAGGTAAACTATTCCTTGCTCTCCCAGTTTGCTTATAGTATCAGCCTTTATATCTAAATTATGAACCCCAAATGAGATATTTCTTAGCACTTAGCATAGTGCCTGACACATAGTAGGTGCTACCTAAATGCTTGTTCTGTTTCCCTTCTCTTATCTAAATTAAGTTAAACTTGACTGGGGCAGTTTTATCTCAGACTGCTATATTCATTTAAGAAGCTCAGAATAAAGTATTTTGAGAAATGTTATTTCTGGGGGAAATGGAAATATATTCTTTTCAGGCATTTGCTTGAGCAAAAAGAAGTGGTAAAGTGAGGTGTTGACTCATCTAATTTCAGAAAAACAGGAATTTTAGGCTCAGTTATAAAGACTCTATAAACTATTGGCTAGTATGCTTAACATTAATTGCTGGCAAAATTCTTGAACATATAATTAAAGGTTTGGCTAGTGAGCATCTAGAAAAGAAAACAATGAGTGCAAAAAGTCAGCATGGCTTAGGTCTCTTAATCCAGCCTCCTTACGTGCCAGATGAAACTGAGAACCACAGGAGTGAAGTGACTTGCCAAAGGTTGAACAGGAAGAAAGTAGCAGAACCAGGATTGGAACCTAGGCCTTTTGATTCACTCCAGGGCTACTTTCACTGGATGGTCATACCAGACTTTTCCCCTTTTTAACAGTTACTAACTGGTAGATCAGGGGAATTTTGTAGATAGCAGTTAGGTATCACAGTGGATAGAATGCTGTACCTAGCGTGGGGAAGACACTACCTGTGTGAGCCTGAACAAGTCATTTAGCCTCTCTCAGCCTCAGTTTCCTCATCTGTAACATGAGGTTAATAATGGTGCCTACCTCTCAAGGTTATTGTGAGAATAAAATGAGATATTTGCAAAGCGTTTTGCAAACCTTAAAGCATTAAATAAATTCTAGCTATTACTAGCTATTTTTATATTTAAGTTTACCTAGATTTTAGCAGAACAGTGGACAGACTCTTGCATACTCTTTCTATGGTAAAGATAGTAAGGAACACTGGCTCTGGATTTAAAGACCCTGGGTTCAAACCCCAGCTTTGTCACTTTACCTCCCTGGGTCTCAGTTTCTTCATCTCTAAAATGGAGTTGGACTAGATAGATGGCCTTTGAGGTCCTTTCCAGCTTTAAATTTATGATACTGTGATTCTTTGAGGGCTAGAAAATAGTCTAGTTAGCTGGCTTCTGAACTGGTAGAATGACTGGACCCAAGAAGTAGTTAATAATGGTTCTGTGTCAGTTTGGAAGGGTCTTATGGAATGCCTCAGGGATCTTTGTTTGACCCATCTGCTGTCTAATATTTTTATCAATGACTTGGAAAAAGTATAGATGATATATTTATCAAATTTCTAGATGTTACAAAGCTAAATAAGATACTCAGCTCCTTGTATGACAGAATCCCAAAGTGTTTCTAGAAGCTATAATGTACTTGTACTGAGTCTAATAAAATGAAATTTAATAGGAATGGATATAAAATCTTATACTTTTGTTAAATCAATTTCTGAAACACAGTTAGGAAGCATAGATAGATATCAGTTGGCAACTGAGAAAGCTAATTCATTCTTAGGCTGTAGTGAGAGAGGCATAGTGTTCTAGACTAATAGAGATGATACTGTCACCTCCTACATGGTATCTTCTCTAATAAAATGTAAATTCTTTGAGATCAGTGACTGTTTTGTTTTTATCTATGCATCCACAATTCCTGGCACAGAACAGGCACTTAATAAATACTTGTTTGATATGGCTCTATACTTTGTCCTGTTTAGTTCACATCTGGAATATTTTAAGTGTGTGTGTATATATGTGTGTGTGTGTGTATGTGTATATATATGTTTATATATTATATTTTGGTGCTATATTTTAGGAAGAACATTAATAAGGTGGAGAATGTCCAGAGGAAGGCAGCCGTGATAGTCAAGAACTTAAATGAAACTCTGTGAGAATTGGTGGAAAGAACTGGGGATATTTAGTGTGTTAAAAAGAAGACTTAGCAGGGATATGGTAGTCACTTTTAAGGATTTAAAAGGCTATACTGTGGAGAAAGGATTGAACTTGTTCTGCTTAATGTTAGAGAGCAGACCCACGAACTTTGGGTGGATGATGGAGTGGAAGCAACTGCCTCAGGAGGTATTTGTTCTCTTTTATTAGAGGTTTTCAAGTAAATGCCAATGGCCATTTGTTGGTTTCTTCTTTAGGTACAAGTTGCACTAGATGTCCTCAGACAACACAGCCTAGTCTATTTTAAAGATTCTGTGTTTATGAAGAACTGAAAGGACATTATTGATCACATATAATTACAAGAATTGGAGATTATCCTTTTAACCTTCATTTTACAGGTAAAGAAACTGATGAATAAATAATTAACCTCAGATTGTAAGTAATACAACATGTATTTTAATGAAGGTCACTGGGGAAACTGAGCTAATTCAGATTTTCTGTTTGCCAGATAGTGGCAGCCTACTTGAAGGAGAATGCAGAGAGGAAACATTTTTTATTTTTTTCTTATGTCAATTTGTGGGAGAGGCTGAACTGTAAGTGGGGAAAAATACTTGAATAAGTAAAATGATTGGTTTTATTTAGTTCGCATTGTGAATACTGTTGCAGGTTTGCTGTGCTTTAATAAAATCTGATTAAGAAAATGCTTTAAAAATTAGATTAAGAAGTGATTATTTTAATTTGGAGAGGCAACATTAAAATTCATTTGTCACTTGACTCTCAGCATGATATATTCTAGTATAATTTTAGTGTACTTATTAATGTACTTGCAAAGTCAGTTGCCAATTTAGATAAAGTCCTAAGGACACCCTTTATTTTGCTTTATTAAAAAGGCCCACTGATCTTCTGCAAGAACTTAGTGATGAGGCATTGACTATGGGACAGGTGTTATTTAACCTGATCCAAAAGCCACAAAATGTAAACTGGATCATGCCTAAGTTCCTAGACTGTCAAGAAAATATTCCTTCTTTTTCCAAAGGGACTGATATAGTCCTTTGTGGCTCAGGGGCACCAGAAGAGCCCACTTTCTCCTTTTTCTCCTCCCCCTACCTGGACTTAGCCCAGATGACTTACAGACCATCAGTAGGTATAGATTTGGATTGTTCTTTAGTGAATATGATTCTTGCAGAAATTGCAAGTGATGAAGTGGTCTTTTGAGTGCCATCAAGAACAAAGTCCTAACCTATTCCTAACCTATTCCATCTCTTTTCATCATTGTATCTGGCATTGACTTCTCAGTCAGAGCTTGTAAGGACCATGTGAAGTTGTTAGCATTTTCCAGCTTTCTAATGCAAATCCAGCTAGCTGTGCAAAGAACACTGAATTTGTAGTCAGAGAATCTCAGTTTGAACCCAGGCTGTTCTGCTATAAGCTTGGGACAATTCATTTAAACCTTTATGGGCTACAATTTCCTTATCTGTGATATTGAGAGGGTTGGAATAGATAAACTCTTAAATTACCTTTCATTTCTAAATCCTATAATCTATTAGCTGTATGGTCATAGGTTAGTCATTTAACCTTTCTGAGGCGCAAATTCCACTTCAATAAAATGGGAATAATACTTTACAGGGTTGTCTTGAGGAAAGCACTTTGTAAAATGTAAAGCAGTATGCCAGGGTGAGTTTTAAATCAATAGATAAGTTTCACCAAAGATGAATTTACGCAGCACTTAGTGAATTTGTCCTAGTATTTCAGAGATTGACAACAGCATTGAACTTCATTTTGGGTCTGGGCATGCCAGGAGCCACATAAAATGTTCCATTGGCATGCAAGGAGAAAAATGAGAACTTCTGTTTATATTTATTATACTTTTTATTTAAAAAATAAGAAATTTAGTTTGACTAGTATTTAATCTAAAATTTAGATGCTCAGAGTGAGTAAGGTAATTATAGGGTCATGTATGGTTTTCAGGGCATCCTGCGGAAAGGCTGAGTGTTCCACAGTGTGGAAGGGTTCAGTCATTTACTTGCTTTCAGTATATTGTGCATATTACAGTTTATATATGTGTCTGGCTAAGTGGGGTTTTGGATTACATAATCTAATTTTAACTAAATTCACTCTTAAAGGATACAACAGCTAAAAAAATTTCTGGCAAAGAAACTGAATGGATTGTGATACTAATACTGACACTTTTTGCTAGCTACATTACAAGTAAAAACAGTGACTATCTAATTATACCTGACAACTTGAAATTGTTAAGATTATTTGAAATACTGCTTCACACCCACTGTTATTAATGATGTACCTCACCTTAAGTGTGTATATGTTGTGTTTTGAGATATTAACTAGTGATAGAATGAAGCCACCAGGATTACCAAGGCATTTAGAAACTAAGTTTTTGTTGCCAAAAATATGTGACATTTGTGAAAACTTTCATATCCGCACACTTAACTTGGAAACAAAAGTTTTTAACCTGTTTAAAATTAATCTTCCAAAAGAAGAGTTTCAGTGGGTTAATTAACTTGTTAAAACTATAATGCTGATTAGCTTCCAAAAACAACTGATTGACATCTGGCAAAATGAAAATCAGCTAGCCAGATTTCAACAAAAACTTATGCGTAATTGGTGGATGGGATTGAAAAATTAGTGTCATGATTTAATAAGTACACTGATGTACTTCTTCCATTTGAATCTACATTTTTTTGGTAATATCTTTTTCAACAGTTACAGATTAAGCATTTATGACTTTATCTGCTTACTTTGTGTCTGGTACTGAGCTAATGCACAGGTGTAAATACAAATTAACAGTTACAGATAAAGCATTTATGACTTTATCTGATTACTTTGTGTCTGGTACTATGCTAATACACGGGTATAAATACAAATTAACAATAACAAAATAACAAATTAACAATCCCTGCTTCTAGGAGTTTATATTCCAGTGGGAGAAGAAAGCGTAGAAAGTATGTCAGTTTGTTCACAGTAGAATGGCAGGATAGATTATCAACTCCCTTCCCCATCCCCCCCATTTCTGTTGAAATCCATCATCCTTTTAGTTGTCCTGTTTTGCAACCTTAGTTATCTTTAACTCTTCCTTCTCCCTTAATCTTGATGTCTTAGCTCACTAGCCCCATAAATGTTTTCCTTGCCTAAGGTTTCTCTCTTTCTTCAATACAAGCCACCAAGATGATTCTATTAAAGCACGATCTGACTGTGTGGGACAGTGACCACTGAAATCAAGAGTTTGGAGTCTGAATCAGAGATCAGAAAAGGTCTTTATTCTTTCTCATGAGAAAGGGCACAGCCCTTGTGGCTACTCAAGCAACAGCAGCCAGGGAGTGCGAAACTGGCTGTGAGAAGCAAAGTTTTATAGCCCTATTGCATGCCCCCTCCCACTCTCTTACCCTCTTTCCCCCATTGGCTGGGTACTTAAGGCGTACAATCTAAACGCGGCAACTAATACTCAAAAGAAGCAAACATACCCATATTTAGGAACTAGATGTATGTGTGCTCCAGGAAGCAGGAGTGACCAGGAACTTCCTGTGCTGACGTGGCTTTTTGACAAAGGTGAAACTCAACTCGGAGCTTAGGCCTGAGGAAACTGCACTTCAGGCCATCTCTCACATGACAATATCACTTCCCTGCTCTAGAAGCTCCAGTGGCTCCCTATTGCCTCTAGGATCAAATGAAAATTCCCTAGCTTTTAAAGAGCTTTGTATTCTGACTCAAACCTACACTTGTCGGTTTATTTTTTGTTACTCTTCTTCATGCATTCTGCATTCCAGCCAAACTTGCTAATATACAACATTATTTCTCTGCATTGGCTGTCACCCATGTCTGGAATGCATTCCCTTCTTCTGTTGTGTAAAACCATTCTCAGATTTCTTCAATGCTTAACTCAAGTGCTTCCTCCTATAAGAAGTGTGTTCTGATTTGCCTCCTTCCCCTGAGTTACTAATGTTCTTCCTTTTTTCTTTGAAATAACTTCATATTTTATACTTATTTAAGTATGCATTTTACATTTACTTATTTTTCTGTGCATAAATTGTGTGCCTCCCCCCCCCAATAGAATGTAAGTTCCTTGAGGACAGAGACATTTGGCTTTTATTTCGTAAATCCATGGCCTGACACAGTACTTGGCACAAAGTGTAGATGCCATATAAATGCTTATTGAATGCAATAATAAAGGTGGCATTTTCTCTACCAAATCAAATCCTTTTCTATAATTAGGGAACAAACAATGGGATCTTATGTTCTCTGCATCTTTCAGTCAGTTATGTCATTATAAAGATGTAGTTTGCTGTATCATTGTAAAAGCCTTGTGTTCCCTTCTCAAAACCATATCAAGGATACAAATATAGATATTCTTAGAGGTTTTGTGAAAAGAGGCTAAGTAGGTACTTCATGAAATGAGTTGAAAGGGGTTGGTACAGGCCGGTGGGCCATTTTGTATTTTTGTAGCTAGCCTTTTAGGGTTGATCCTTCCCATTTTTAGCTAGGCAAGCTGGAAAATAGTCTACTGTAGGGACTATATTTGAAGCCTTTAAAGGATGGTAGACTGCTAGATTCTTGCATTTTTGTTCATGTGCCACAGTGAAGCCATTAGAGTAAGACTTTGTGGAGATTATGTTTTGGATTGAGTTGCGAGTCTAAAGCATTTTTAAAAATCTGAAATATGAAACTATAAAATATTGAATTGGTCACCAGATAGTGAATATTTTGGTTATAGCAACCCATGAAACATCCATTTTCTGGCAGAAACATTTCTGTCTTTCTGGTCACCCAGGTTTGCAACTTCAGAGCAACCTTCAACTCCCCATTCACTCTTACCCTCCTCCTTCATCTCCCATATCTATCTAATCAGTTAGTCTCCTAATTTGTTTCTGTTACCTCCATAGCATCTCTGACATCCATCCCGTCATCTCTACTCACATGGCCACCACCCTGGTTCAGTTCCTCATTGCTTTTTACCTAGAGTGTGGCAGTAGCTTTGAAAGTTGGACTTTCTGCCTTTAGCCCCTTTGTTTTCCAGTTCATCCTCTTCTGGGCAACCAAGGTGATATATTCCTAAAGTGCAGGTCTGACCGTGTCAGTATCCTGCTTAATTAAAATTCCAGTGGTTCTCCTTTGATTTTTAGCATCAAATACAGACGCCTGTGTTTGGTGTTTAAAGCCCTTTACAACTTGGCTCCAACTTAACTTGGCCAGGCCAATTACACATTATGCCTTTTCACAAATGCCACAGTCCAGCTAAACTGGCTTTCTTACTCTTCTTCACATGAGACACTCCTTTAATCTCAGTGCCTTTCCACAAACTGTCACTGATGTCTGGAATGTACTGCCTCCTTATCTCTACCTCCAAGAATCCTTAGTTTCCTTCAGAGCTCAAGTCAGACCACTTTTACAGGAGACCGTCTCTTTTTTTCCCTCCTTCTCCCTTCCATTACCTTATATATCTTTTTAATATACTTATGTTTGTACTTTTTAATCTTTCCTGATAGAATGCAGACTCCTTAGGGGTAGGGATTATTTAATATTTGTCTTAGTATCCCTAGGGTCTTGCACAAGGGTGGGGAACTTTTGACCCTGAGGCCACATGTGGCCCTCTAGGTCCTCAAGTGAGGCCCCTTGGATTCTGGTCAAAGGATTCAGTTGGGTTCTGGGCTTCAAGTCCATTATCTCTCTGACAAGAGATGGAAGGCATGAAGTCATTATTGATCTTTGCTTTAATCGGAGTTCTGAAGATTTTCAGACTTGTTTTCCTTTATATTATTTTGGTTGTTGTGGAAATTGTTCTCCTGCCTCGGCTCATTTCATTCTGCTCTAGTTCATGTAAGTCTTCTCATGTGTGGTAGGAACCTGTCTGCTTTGTAGGCTAGGCTAGGCTAGCTTGTCCTTTAACGGGATGGAAAACTGTACTCAAGAGTTCATTGGCTCACTTCTGGCCATTGTCATAGCTTCCTGGTGGCTAAGCATAAAAGCCAGACCACAAGGATAAAGTTTCCCTTCCTTCAGGCTACTAGCTGACCTCCATGGCCCACATAAATGCAGGAGAATTGTACCCAACCAAATCCTTGCTGAATATTCTTTCCTTGCTGGGTTAAATAAATATTTCTTTTGCTATTAGTTTATGAGTGTTTCATTTCGTTACAGTTCTGAACCTGAAGTACCAGACTAGCCTGAGTCAGGCCTGGCATAGCAGCACCATTTATTACAGAGTGATAATATTTCATTAATCCATATGTCACAATTTTTTTAGTCGTTCCTCACTTGGTAGAAAGAGGAAGGAAACAAACATTTGTCAGGTGCCAAGTATGTGCCAAGTACTGTGCTAAGCACTTTTACAAATATTATCTCTTTTGACCCTCACAACAATGGTGCAAGGTAGGTGTATCATGATCCCCATTTTACAACTGAGGAAACTGAGGCACAGAAATTTTAAATGACTTACCTAGGGTCACCAGGACCCAGACTGCTCAGCTAATAAGTATCTAAGGCCAGATTTGAACTCAGGTCTCCCAGACTTCAGGCCCAGCTCACTGTGCCATCAAGTTGATGGACACCCATTTTTACCCAGTTCTTTGTTACAATAAAAGGAGCTGTTTAAAGATGTTTGTATACACAGGTTCTTTTCCTCTGTCTTTGAGCTCTTTGGCATATATACTTAGTAAGAATATAGCTGGGTCGTAGGGTATATACAGTTTGGTGATTTGGTGATCCAAATTGTTTTCTAGAGTGGTTGCACCATAGTTCTACCAACTCTATGTTAGTGTACCCAGCCCCTCCAACAGTCCTCATTTTCCACTTGTCATCTTTGCCAGTATGATGAATGTGAGGTAGAATCTCATAATTGTTTTCAATTTGTAATCTTCATTGAGCCATCCTCTTACACCCTAGCCTGCACCTTCGATGTGGCATACTAAGGTTTTGTCTCTGGATCCCTAGGCTTTTGATTGGTGAGTGTTCACCAGATGTAGCCTAGATCCAGGCCCACCATTTACTCCTTGACTATCTTCATTGCTTATGTTCCTCTGAGGGCCGTAATAAAATCAATACTACAAAATACCCTTCTGTATATGTGTTGAGTTTCTTTATTAGAAAGTAAGCTCCTTGAGGACAGGGACTATCCAGTTTGTTTGTACTTGTATCTCTAGTGCTTAGCACAGTGCCTGGCACATAGTAAGCACTTAATAGATTCTCTGTCATTGTTAGTGATTTGGAACAGTTTTTCATATGGTTGTTGATCATTTGTGTTTCTTCACTTGAGAATCACCTGTTCGTATCCTTTGTTTTCTTATCCTTTGAGTAATGACCAGATTATTATAAATAATTTTGTTTAAATATTAAAAACATTGGAGATTAGTTCTTAATATTTAATACTTAAGTAAAAGAATTCTTAATAGTATCTATGCTCTTAAGCACATCTTAGATGTAGAAGTAGCATTGGGTAATGGTAGAGAGAGCCAGCTTCTTTGGGCAGGGCAAGTCACTAAACTCAATCCTTCTGTATCTGTCCCTTCCCCTTCCTTATCTAGTTGCCTTAAGTGTCCTCCCCACCTTTCCCAGATAATCCTTTAAGCATAGTGGAAAAAGCACTTGCTTTGGAGTTGGGTCCTGAGTTCAAATCCTCATCTGTGTCACTTTGGACAACTCATTTAATACCTCTGGGCTGCAGAGAGTGGAAGATGGACTTTGCTATCCTTTAAGATCCCTTGAATCTATAAATCTATATTTCTTTCAAGTAAGTCCGATAGTTTAAATAGCGGAATAGCTGCCTATCTTTATTGGTAGAGGGAATTCCCTTACAGGAATTCCTTTCACTGCTGGAAGCATAAGTCCATACCAAACATGCCTCTCCTCCCACCCAAATCAAAATAGCTATTTTAAGGTACTTCTAGATTTCAACTGTCAGATCTCCCTTTCCAAGATTTATGTTGTTAAAACCAGGATGTATATTATAAGTAGCAACTCTATAATCTCTTTTATAATTAAAAATCTGGATAAGGGGAAGAAGGAATAAGCATTTATTAAGCGCCTACTATGTACTATTCACTGTGGTAAGCACTTTATAAATATTAACTCATTTGATCCCAAAACAATCTCAGAAGTAGGTGCTATTATTATCCTCATATTACAGTTGAGGAAACTGAGGCAAACATAGGTTAAGTAACTTGATCAGGGTCATGCAGCTCCTAAGTGTCTGAGACCAGACCAGGATTCAAATCTTTCTCTCTCTAAGAACAATGCTTTATCCACTGTGTCACCTAGCTACAAACAAGCAGGCAAGTTTACTTTCTAAGAAATGTGAACTTTAGGATTAGAGAGGGCAGAGTGGAGGCATAAGATGAGTTTTATTTTTATCTTTAGAAAAACAGTTTAAGCCTGACCTTTGTATCTTTCTTTTATAAACCTATCTTTTTAATCTTAACTTTATTTTAGTTTTCTTTTGAACTTATGTCAGTACTCCTAGCCCTTGCTTTTTTCCTTCACAATTTCTTTTGTCATACATTTTACTGTTTTGTGATATTCAAGCCGCAGCAGCATCTGTCTCTAGGGATCACAGTAGAGTAGGGCTTCTTAACTTTTTCATATCCTGAGTCCCTTTGGCAATCTGGTGAAGTCTGTGGACCCCTCCCCAGTATACTGTTTTTAAGTGCATAAAGTAAAAAATTCAACTAGGATGCTGGATCCCTGGTTAAGAGCCCATGAAACAGAACATCAGAAGTCCTGAAACCTACTTTAATTTAGCAAGTACTGCATTTGTGCTTTCATCTGTTAGAATGTAGAATTTATATGCTTACTTAGATCTTTTCCCCTCCTTTTACCTAAAGTTAAATGGTTTTAGACTTGAAATGAAAATTTTCAAAGCCACAGACCATTAAATAGGACATGTTGGAGGTGAAAATTTTACATGATGAATTTTTGTATAATGGATAATACAGTCTTTTACAGATTTATTTAAATACTAAAAATCTATCTCTCTCATATACAACAGTATCCAAAGCTTCAAAATAGTTTTCTAACCTATTTTGCTCACTATACAACTAAAAATCATAGATTTAGAAAAGCTTGTATGATGACTTAGGGATGGAGAAAATGACATTTTTTTTCTTTCTTTTTTCTTTTCTAAGGCAGTTGGGGTTAAGTGACTTGCCCAGGGTCACACAGCTGGTACGTGTCAAGTGTTTGGTTTGAGACCGGATTTGAACTCAGGTACTTCTGACTTCAGGGCCAGTGCTCTATCCACTGTGCCACCTAGCTGCCCCGAGAAAATGACATTTTTACAAATATTTAGCTTGTTCCTGTCTTTTGAGTGCATATAGTATCTTATTATATATGCATCTAAGTGTCAGAGCAAAACCTTTTTTTTTTTTGGTTGAAATAACTGCTGACAATTTCCTAACAGGCAGCAATTATATGTATTGTAGTCTTACTTCCCAAATATTTTGAGTGATTTGAACACTTAGCCTTTGAAATTCACCTGTTTCCTCCCCAACCTCCCAAGCAATTAAGTCTAAAGAAACCTTAAGGTGATAAACACCCCAGTTTCTTAGCCAGTGGAAGAATTAGCTAGCTAAGGTTAACAATTAGAATCACAATTTCTAAGTCTTAGAGCAAAAATTAATAAGTTAGCAGAAGCTGATTAACAGAAACTTTTAAAGCCAATTAAATCTTAGAAAAAGCCAGAGAAAACCTAAGAACAAAACCTTAAAAATATTGAAGGATTTATTTAATTTTCCACATAATGATATATAAATTTTTAAAGCCATATACTAAAATTACAGAAAATGTGAAGCTTTTTAGGACCATATTTTTTAGCCAAAGTTGGAGTAGAGGTGGGTGATATAGGAGAACTTGGTAGAGCTCTGTTCTGTTGGAATAATGATTGAATTGTCTAGTTTGAAGATATTGGAGTTTTTGAGTCAATAACTAAAGAAATAACCATCAAATATTATATTAAACATTTCCTTTAATTAAATTTTCAGGTCTCATTGAAAGAAGAAGGTAGTTTGTGCTATTTTCTCAAGGTAAAGAATGAAGACTAATCTTTCCTGAAGAAACTGAAGTAACATTTTAATTACTGTAAGTGGATAAGTCAATTTTTCTTGGTAGCAGAGATTTAGTATATTATTTATTTTAGCTCCTCTTCCTTACTATTGTGGGACAAATTGATCCAGATTTAATAAAATCACGGCAAATGTATTAGGAAAAAATAACCTTCCCCTCCAAAATATCATAAAACTATTTAGGTAAAATTAATATTATAGTATTGACAACCTTCTGGCTAAAGTATAAACAATCAAGAGTTCCCTTTTATTTTCCTATTGCCTCTGGTATGAGGTTTAACTTTATTTTGTATATAAAATGGAAATAATTGTCTCCTCAACTGTCTCTTGAGGTATAGGAAAAAATCAATTAATCTTAGTGCTATTAATGATAAAAATAAAATTTGATTAAAAGAATTAAATGAAGTTATTTTTGTGTACGTTTATTTTTCTAAACCTTAACATATATTTTCATTTAGAAAATAATTGACTAAAGAAGTAAGATCTTTGTTTCAGATTCAACTGCTCAGTCCTTTGTGTCTTTATATTTATTCATTTGAGAGTAACTTTAGTAGGAATAAACTGATTTCAATCAGATTTGGTTTACTGTTAAAGGGTGTGGATAAACCTCTGTTTATTTTTTTAAGATTCATTATTTATTTTTAGTTTTCAGCATTCACTTCCACAAGATTTTGAGTTCCAGATTTTCTCCCCATCTCGTCCCTCCCCCAACCCCAAGACAGCGTGCGTTCTGAATACCCTTTTCCCTAATCTGCCTTCCCTTCTATCTCCCCCCCACCTTCTGTTATACCCTTCCTCTTCTATTTTCCTGTAGGGCAGGATAGACTTCTATACCCCATTGCCTGTATATCTTATTTCCCAGTAGTATGTGAAAACAATTTTTAACATTTGTTTTTAAAACTTTGGGTTCCAAATTTTCTCCCTTCCTCCCTCCCTACCCACCCTCATTGAGAAGGCAAGCAACTTGATACAGGTTATGCTTGTGTAATCTTGCAAAATGCTTCCAGAGTAGTTATGCCATGGAAAACTGACTATATTTCCCTTCATCCTATCCCCCCCCCCCGTTTATTCTATTCTCTCTTTTGACCCTGTCCCTCCTCAGAAGTGTTTGCTTCTGCTTACTCCCTCCCCCAATCTGCCCTCCTCTCTATCATCCCCCACCCACTCTCTTATCCCCTTCCCCTCTATTTTCCTGTAGGGTAAGATAGCTTTCCATACCCAATTGAGTGTGTATGTTATTCCCTCCTTAAGCCAAATCCAATGCGAATAAGATTCACTCATTCCCTCTCACCTTCCCCCACTTCCCCTCCACTATAAAAGCCTTTTCTTGTCTGTTTTATGTGAGATAATTTACCCCATTCTACCTCTTCCTTTCTCCTTCTCCCAGTATAATCACCTCTTACCCCTTAATTTTATTCTCCAGATATCATCCATTCATCTTCAACTCACCCTGTGCCCTCTATATATCAGTCTATCTATACATATAACTACTCTAATACTGACAGAGGTCTCATGAGTTACAAATATCATCTTTCCATATAGGAATGTAAACAGGTCAACCTTAATAAGTCCCTTATGATTTCCTTTTCCTGTTTACCTTTTCAACACAAATATGAGAATCAAGTTAAATTTGGTTCTTTATCCTTTAAATTTACAGTGTTGGGTAGTGGATTAAAAATATACCCAATTCTCTCCATTTATAGCTCACACCAGTTCAGATGGAAGCTTTTATGAGGGGGGAGGAGGATGACAGACTAGAGGATGGAAAATGGGGTTGTATAAATTCTGAGCCTGGCACAGACATTCTGTCCTGTGGCAGTGATGTGGAGGGTTAGGGAGTGGAATCTACCACTCAGGGCGGTTTGGTCATTCCAAATGAGGAGACATGTGGCAGTTTGTAAGATGTTAATTTTCCTTGTTCAAGCTCTTTCTCCCTTAACTAGCTTGCCCAATGAAATAGGCAGGACCATGTGTGCTGTTGCTTCTCACCTGGTTTGACTCCTATAATTATTGACTTTCTGAACTGTGGGAAGCTTTTTATTGCTTTCCCATGTCAAAAGTTTAGCCCCTGTTTGGAAACGTGGAGCTTAGGCTTTGGTAGAGGGCATGGATTTTGTTTTATTTCAGTTGGATAGAGAAAAAAGTGCCCCTAAGTCTTTGTGCTTTTTTACCAGCAATTCTTCAACAGCTCCTCGAACAGTGCTCAGCAACCCTAGACAACCAGCACAATGGCTGCAAACAAGAATAAGAACCAGAGCTCGTTAGTTCTTCACAAAGTGATTATGGTTGGCAGTGGAGGGGTGGGCAAATCTGCACTTACCCTTCAGTTCATGTATGATGAGGTAAGATGATTAAATCACAAGTTGTCCAGCTCATTTACCTGTTGGTACAGATGTCCCCCTTTCAAAAAGATAAAAAGTTTTTTCTTAGTATGTATTTCCCTATGTGCCCTCTAGGGTTATGTAACCAATCAACCCTGTAAAAGTTTCCTGAAGAGTGAAAGGTCTGCAGCCTCCTGTGAATCTCAGCAAGAATAAAATTTATAAATTGTTGATATCAGGTAGGTGATTTAAACTTTGGCAGGGCTGGGTAGGGCCTGGAGGGGACGTTTCTTTTCTCTTGCTTTTATTCCTCTTGTTACATTTTCTTTGGTCCTGCTGTTTGTGGAGAAAAGGGAGGAGAGAAAGAGAGAAAAACTGGTAACCTTCCATTGTGAATGGGCTGATCATGTGTTTAGCCTTGTGAAAAGTGAACTGTGGAATAGAGGGGAACTGAATTGAGTTTTCACAAGGTCTAGACTCTGATCTTCTTTGCCATAATTAATAGATGTAAAGTTTTCCCTACTTTTCTTCCATACAGCAAGAGTGAGGTTTGGCTTTCTGTCTCTTCCCCATCCTTGCCAAAGTTTAAATCACTTACTTGATGTGGGTGTCATAGTCAAAACTGTGCTGCATCTGGTGTGATAATAGATATTATATTGCATATAGTTTGGCAAAGGACCCACTGCTCTGTGCCCCAGATGGAGTGTTCTTTGCTGGTCCTGTTTAGAAGGGGTAGCAGAACTGCTCCTATGATATTCTGCTTTGTGGTTAAATACCTTCTTTGGTGTCCACTTATCCTTACTTCATACCGCAAGCTAAAATGGAAATGCAAACATCTGCTTGATTAAATGAAAGTACTATTTGCATAAAAGGAGAGACAGATTTGGACCCTAGATCAGAGAGATTGTTTTTCCCTTTGGTGACTTGTGGGATGGGGAATCATGGGATGAAGAAGCAGGATCAGAGAGAGAGGCTTGCTAAATTGAGAGAGGGAAGATTCCCACAAAGTATGGCCGGGCATTCCCAGATTAGCAAACCCAGAATTCAAGTGCAGAGCAGAATACCTGTTAGTGTGGTATAGAACACTGGATTTGAAGTCAGAGGACTTGCCTATAATTCCCAGGTCTTTTATTTACTCCAGTGTAATCTTAGGTAGGTCACTTTTTTTCTCTGAGACTATTTCTTCATCTGTAGAATGAAAGGGTTGGACTAGACCATTGATTTTCAAAATGTCTGCAGACCCCAGGTGTTCTTGAGACACTTTAAGAGGGGTCCTTGAGGTCAAAACTATTTTCATTGTAGTATAAAGACATTATTTGTCTATTAAAATGCTCTTCCCTCTTCCAGCTACATATCTGTGTGAGGCTGGATTTTCTTCATATATTTCAACCAAAACAACATATCACAACAGATTGAATGCAGAAGCAGATCTGAGAATCCAGCTGTCTTCTTTTAAGCCAGACATTAAAGAGATTTGCACAAATATGTAAAACAATGCCACTCTTCTCACTAAATTTTTTTTGCTTTGGAAAATAGTTATTTTTCATTAAATTGTTATTTAACATATGAATTGATTGTTATTTTAAATGAAATGACAAGTGTAAAATTTAACAGTTCCAATTTCTAATATGGTAAATATTAACTTGTATACTGAGATAAGCAAAAGCTCTTTGGGATCTTCAGTAATTTTTAAGAGTATAAAAAATTTGATAATTCCTGGACTAGACAATATCCAAATTCCTTGTAGCTCTTAATCCAGGATGATGAAGGCTGTGAGGACCAGCCCTATCCTTGGCTCCTAAGCCTTATCAGTGCGACTGCTTGAGCCATAGATGGATAAAATTTTTTTTGAAGGGGAGGATGACTAGAGGAAAAGAAGCAAGCATGGATATGAATTGAGTCATTTTCTAATATTCCCGTTCTCTGAAATTGGAGTTAGGTGGTATGGTAGATAGGGTGCTGGGTCGGGAGTCAGGAAGACTTGAGTTCAGATCAAGTCTCAGACATTTCCTTGCTGTGTGATCCTGAGCAAGTCACTTAGCCTCTGTTTGCCTCAGTTTCCTCATCTGTAAAATGGGAATAATAATAGTGCTTACCTCCCAGGGTTGTTGAGAGTATCAAATGAGATAATAATTGTAAAGCACTTAGCATAGTGCCTGATACATAGTAGGCACTATATAAATACTTATTCCCTTCCCTTTCCCTAAGTAGTATAGTGGCTGGAGTGCTGGAATTACAGTTAGGATGACCTGAGTTTGAATCCTTTCTCAGACACTTATTAGCTATATGTTTCCGAGCAAGTCACTTAACCTCCTTGGGTCTTAGTTTCTTCATCTGTAAAATGAGGATAAAAATAGCACCTACTTCACAGGGTCATTATGAGAGTCAATTGAGATGATATATATAAAGTGTTTGTAAATGCTAGCTATTATTATTAGTATTGTGATCTGGTATGTGTTCAGGTCTGAGGAGAGGACAGTTAGTGGGGTAATATGACAAAGGAAATACAGTTTAAGCCTTTTGGAAAGGAAAGAGGGAAAAAATGGGTAAGAGGAGACTTGTATTTTTGTTGTCCTTATTTTATTTTCTGTTACATACCTAGTTTTACATTTGAAGATCAGGTTTCATAGGCAGAATAATAGTGACACTCTGGGAGTCAGCAGTTTTAGATTTTTTGTGAAATATTAGCAGGTCACTGCCTCTCAGTGTGGTTGAAGCTTAGCATTCATTTCTAAGTTTCTCTAATTAAGTGTCCCCTGCACTGATGCTCAGAAACCTGAAGATAATAATGGTATAGTTGTGGCAGTAATGGTTTCTGTAGTAACTGGCAAAGGGGACATTGGTGTTAATGTGAAGGGTAGGTGAGAAAAAACAAAAAAATACAGGTTTATAAAGATTTTGTGACTACTGAATGTTTAAGAATTACCAAATAACAACTTTAGAGGGAATTAAAATGTTTGTCTTTTCCTGTAGAATCAGTCTAGTTCATGTTCCCTATCTTTCTAAAGAGTCTCATTGCCTGTTTTCCTAGCTGAAAAATGTAAACATCAGAGTTGTACTCTAGATGTCTAAAAATGGCATACATTTTTCATTTAACAATGAGGTATATGAATCAGGACATCCTGACTCCCAGTCTCAAAGGAATAAATGGAACTTTAAAAAAAAAAAACCTAATCAGCTCAAAAATACTTCAATGAAAGTAAAATGAATCATGATATTCAAAGGAGGTTTTTATCAGTAACATTTTTTAATCATGGTGTCACATTTTATACCTACTGCATTCGAAACAAGTTCGACTTCAAAAATGAAGATATATTAGTGTGTTTAGGAAGAGATGGGGGAGAGAGATTGTGAGGAAGGTGCTTTTATAAATCTCAGGGTGCTATAGGTGTTCTTGTTTTCGTGACAATATTACCAACTTATCCTATCTGTTCTTCAGTTTTTCCACATCTGTAAAATAAGGTTAATACCTGTCTATTTTACAGAAGTATTCAAAAGACAAATGAAATGATAGCTTATATGTTGCTTTGGGGGAGCTAAACCACCATGTAAATGCAGAACATTAATAATAGTTATACAATGAAGACATTATATTACATATAGTAAGCACTCAGTAAATATTTTTAGTTTATGAGCAAAGTATATGTTTGTAATATTAAAATTCTGTTTTTGAAGTAGTTTAGTTATTTGATGACATTACTTGTGTGTCGTGTTCTCTAGTTTGTAGAAGACTATGAACCTACTAAAGCTGACAGTTATAGAAAGAAAGTGGTCCTTGATGGAGAAGAAGTGCAGATAGACATTCTGGATACGGCTGGACAAGAGGATTATGCAGCTATTCGAGACAACTACTTCCGCAGTGGGGAGGGGTTTCTCTTAGTCTTCTCCATAACAGAACATGAATCCTTTACAGCCACAGCAGAGTTCAGGTATGTTTTTAAATAAAAGATATGTGAAGGCTCTTGAAGTCTTTTTTTGTCCTCCTTCCTTATAGCCTTGGTTGAGAAGCAATGCATGCCAATAACATCACTCCCAGTGTAACTAGTTTAAAGATGTTGGGACTTCTAAATAGAAGTATAGCTGTCTGTTTTTTCTAGTATTTGTGCATCAAAGCAGTAAGTAGTCTGTACTAGATTCCTTTTGTGGACCTTTTGGCTCTTGCTTTTATGGTTACAAGTATTGGAATCTTATCTTCTCTAAAAGAGGACCTGATGATTTGTGTTTGTATTTATATGTGTGTGTGTTTCATATATGTGTGTATATTACATACACATACACACACAATATTTGGTGATCATATATTTGTATGACTCCTAAGAAATAGTGAGTGATTAATGTGACATACTCATTTTAAAATTTCAGTGGAAAGTTGGCATTGATTGTATTGTGAGGTTTGTTTATGTAGGACATTGACAGGAGAAGAAAAGATTTGACTTGGAACTACAGAGCTTCAGAATTTTCAGAATTTTAATTTCTTTCTATTTTGGAGTAGAATAAATATATATCTTATTAATTGTACATTATTGAGGTTTAAAATACTTTCAGTTGCTAATCTTCTATTGTAAAGAAATAGGATCTTTGGGATACAGTCACTGTTTACCTTGATACTTCCTTCAATCAAAATTCCCCATTTCTCTTGGGGAATTAAATATTTTCATCTGTGCTTCTCATAAGCAGTTACCAGTTATTGTAAGTAAACTTAAAATATCTTAACCTCAAGGGGACTTTAACAACCAGACAAAAAAACAGACAAAACACCCAGTATTTTCTTTTCCTTTCTTAGCAAGTTCTGATCAGAGAGTCAGGTGACCAACAAAGGGTGAAAATGAGGAAGCTAATTTTTTTGTCCCAAGATTTGTAAGGAGCATCATTGAGCCAGGAAGGCCTCAAAGGTGAAATGAAGGTAAATAGGAAAATATGAGTGGAAGGCAACAAAAGAAGTATCTCAGTTCTTCTGTTGTATAGTTTTGAGTCATTAAAGTATATTATCTTTTAGCATGGTATATAATTCCATACAACTGTACACGCATAATACAGTAGTGTGAAGGACCCTCTTTCCTCCTGAAGAAAGAATCTAGCATAATATTGGAGTATAGTTATGTTCCTAGAAGTCTCTTTTCAGGAATTTCCTTTGCTGCTTCTGTTCCTTGTGGACCTTGGTTGCCAAATGTAGCAAATGTACTCATAATTATTTTCACTTTTTGGAGGGATGCAGACTTTGTTTTTATACCTCTTCAAAAGACAAAAGGGACACGAACATCTTATTCTTTCTTCTGTTCTTTTGTTTCCTCATGTTCTGTGGTTTACCTAAAGGGAAAGTAGTACAGTTATTCTCAGGAGAAAGATTATGTCACTCTCTCCTTTCCAACAAGTCTAGCACAAAAATGACATTAGTGTTCTTTAATGGTTCTACATCAAGTCTTTGTTTCTTCTTGAGAATTTTGTGATAATGTAAAGGATAGCTCTGAAGGGTGGAAAGAGTGTTTCATATCTGTGCTGGATTCTTAGCTCCAGGACTCATTTTATGTCCAAGGGCAAATCACTTAACCTCTTTGAGTGAAAAGTTTCTGCATATGTAAAATGGAGATAATACTTGCACTGTCGACTACACTGTGTTATTGTGAATAAAGTTCTATGTAAACTTTGGCTACAGATTCCAGAAATGGCCATTTTTTGTGATTGAATAGAGAATAGGTAGAGATCAATTGATGATGCAGTGACTTTTATGCTACTTTTTACTTTTAAAAAATAAACTGGGAATGGCACTATATTCCTGTAAAGGTTTTTTTTTTTTAAGGTTGTGGGAGAGATACAGGCATGATTGAAGGCATTAGAAAAGGAGCTGGTATAGAGAGGGAGAGATTGAAGGTAACTGATAGAATGGAGATGACAGAGGGGGCAATTCTGTTGGAGGAGATGGGATAGAATGGGATCACTAATTTAGGAGGCATACCTCTCCACCTGACCCTTTGAAACTAACCATAAATTTTCATCTTCTTGTGCTTTTGATAGGAGATCATGTTTTGAGCCTATAAATAAAGTCTCTTTTTAAAAATTATATGCTTAAGAGTGACCCCATATCAGTCAATTTCTAAACATTTATTAAACATTTACTATATATTGGGCACTGTGCTAACCATTAGGAATACCAAGACATCCCCCCCCCATCCTTAAGGAAGAGAATTCTATTTCTAATTTTAATGGGGGAAACAACATGTAAATAACTAGGTAAAGACAAGATGTATACAAAGTAGACGGAAGGTAAATTGAAAGGAAAAAAAAAGATATTAGCAAGAGGAACCAAGAAAGGCCTTCTGCATAATCTGGGATTTGAGTTGTCTTAAAAAGGAGACCAGGGAAAATGGGTGTGAGGAGGCAGAATATCCCAGGCATGGGGAATAGTCAGTGAAAAGGTCTGGAGGTGGGAGATGGAGTGTCATCTTCAAGGAATAGCAAGAAGACCAGTGTAGCTAGATCATAGATTATGTGTAGAAGAGTAAAGTGTAGTAAGATTGAAAAAGAGAAGAAGAGACTAGATTTTGAAGAGCTTTAAATGCTAACCAGAGGAGTTTAATAGGCAATTAATAAGACTTCATTGAGTAGGGAGATGCTGACATGGTCAGATTTACACTTCAGAAAATCACCTTGACAGTTGAGTGGAGAATTGGAGTGGGGAGAAATTTAAGGCAGGGAAACCAGTTAGAAGGCTATTAGGCATTAGCCGAAGCAAGAGGTGATGAGGGTCTGAATTAGAGTTGAGGTTGATGAGTGGTGAGAAGAGGACATATGTGAAAGCTGTTGTGAAGAAGAAACAACGAGATTTGGCAATTGATTAGATATGTGGGTTGAGTGAGAATGAGGAGTGGAGGATGACACTGAAATCATGAGCTTGGATGATTGTACCCTTGAAACGTTTGAGATGTCATAGTTGTTTAGGAGGCAAATTGCAAACATCTGCTTGTTCCTTTTCTAATTTCAGAAGATTCCGTTTCATGTGCTTTTAATAGACTATGTGAAAAGACATGCTTTTGTTTATTTATCATTATATTTTCCCACCACATAAGGCATCATACGTTTATATAGGGGACTTTATTTTCCAAAAATTATATCCAGAAATAGAGGTAGGAATCCCTTTGGGGCTTCCCTCTGCCCCAGCACCCAGTTACAGTATCTTGGTTAACCTTTGATTTTTTTTTTCTGTTGATACTGATTTTGTTTTGGTCTAGACCTGTGACTTCACTGCTGTGAGGTATTCCAGTGAGGAAACTTCCTCCTGCAATGTAGACTGGCAACCATTCATAGTCTTGAGAAAGTTGTTTGGTACACTGAGGAGTTAAGTATCTGAGGTAGCACTTGAAACCAGCTCATTCTGACTTTGAGGCAAACTCTTATCCACTGTGCTGTGATTCTTGCCTCATTAAAATCTCAGTGTTTTTAAAATAAAAGAAGTTTAGTTTCTAGTGAATAAAACATTGTAGGTTATAGCTATATTAATTTTAAAAAACTGTATTGATGATTTTTGTTTTTCAGATAAAACTATTTCCCAGGATCATCTCCCTGCTATTGAACCCTCCTTGTAACAAAAGAAGCACAGTTAAGCAAAACTCATCAGTACAATGTCTGCATTTGACAATACATGCAACATTTTGTACCCTTAGAACCTTCCCTCTCCCCACACACCTCTTTCCCAAGATAGGAGAAATATGTTTTATTGTCTTTTTGTTTAGACCAAAGATAGTCATTGCAATTAATTTGAGTTTAGTTGCCTTTTAGCAGTGTTTTCATTTACATTTTTATAGTTATTATGTATCTTCTTCAAATTCTGCTTTCTGATCTATGAACTCTTAAGACTGAATTTCCCCAGGGGCAGCTAGGTGGCGCAGTGGATAGAGCACCGGCCCTGAAGTCAGGAGGACCTGAGTTCAAATCTGGCCTCAGACCCAACACTTGACACTTACTAGCTGTGTGACCTTGGGCAAGTCACTTAACCCTAATTGCCTAAAAGCCAAAAAAAAAAAGACTGAATTTCCTTCAAACAGCTTATTTGTAAGATTTAGAGCATAAAGAAGACAAAATTTGCTTTGCTTAGAATCTAGGCACTGTCCCCCAAATTTAGAAGACAGACACATTTTTCCTTCTAATGATGAAACTTTAAAAAATCTATTAGAATTGTTTTTCATTTTCAGATCTCCTAGCTGTTTTTCTATAATTCATTTTTATGGTATTCCTTGAGAAAAATTAATATAACAACAGTTCCTCTCCCATTTTCCTCAGGCCTAATAACACTTCAGATTCTTTCTCCTTCCCCTAATGTCCATGGCATTTTCTTCTACCCATTCCTGTGAAGAGGATCCATTCCATACATCTCCTAAACCTATCTGAGTCTTCTCACACCTTGTCTTGTGCTTTCCTATAATATGCCCTCTACTCAGATTTCCTTCATCGTGTCCACCTTCCTGATCCTGAGGATACCTTCATCTCTAGGATTGCAGAAACAGAACTTGGAGCTTCATGTGCCATTCTTAGGGAGAAGTGGCTGTAACTGTCCAACCCTTGGAATTGGCCAACCCCAGAATTGCCACTCAGGAACTTTCCTCATTTTTGTGTACATCTGGTCATCAAGATTTGTTGAACTTTGGATTAGAGTATTTCTTAAGGATTGGTTGATGAGAAGGGAAAATTCTAAGCTTGGGGAACAGCCAGTGCAGAAGTATGATTATGGGAGATGGAGCATGATGGATGATGAACTACAAGTCTATCAGTATGACTAGAGTGCCTAGAGTGCATGCATGGGAGTAAGGTGTAAGAAGAATGGAAAGACAGGAAGTGGCCAAGTTGTGAAGAGCTTTAAATTCCTAACAGAGAAGTTTGTATTTTATCTTAGAGGTAATAGAGAACCAATGGAGTTTGAATAGTGGGGATGCTGTGGTCTAATCTGTGCTTTAGGAATATCATTTTGCCAGCTGTGTGGAGGATGGATTGGAAAGGGGAGAGATTTGAAACAGGAAGGCTCAATTAGGAAGCTGTTACAGTAGTCCATGTGAGAGGTGGATGAGGGTTTGAGATCTAAGGTGTTGGCTGTGTGAGTGGGGAGAAGGGGACACATAGGAGAGATGTTATGGAGAAAGAACTAATTGTTTATATGGGATAAGTGAGAATGAGGACTCTGTCATGATGCTGAGATTGCAAACATTTGTGACTATAAGGATGGTGATACCTTTGATAGTTATATTGTTAGCTTAGTTTACCTTTTCATTTTGTTTTCAGTCTGAAGAAATACTTTGAGTTTGGAAATTGATAAGAAATTCTGGGGCTTCATCTTTACTGCTTACATAGTGTCTTATAGAAATTTGATAAATAACGTTGATAGGACTTTTTGGAATAACTTACCTATTTACACTTAAGATACTGAGTGATTAGGACCTTATACCTTAAAAATCCCTCATCATTCAAATGTTAAATATGTTGGAATATACATGCAAAAACATAGAAGCATATGAAATTGTACTTTGCATATGTATCTGATGAGAGAGTGAACTTTGTAATATTGCCATTTTATATTTGGGGTACATTGTGTATCTGAACTTAAGAAAAAATAAACTATTTGTGAATAAAAGAACATGAAGATTACTATATGGCAAAAATTAGTTGGGGAAGAAAGGGAGGAGCTTTACTCAGCTGCATGTTGGAAGGAGAATGCCTACCCCTTTGGTCCTGGCAGTTGTCCCTGAGCTTGGAAGAACTTTGTGTCTCCTCAGTCTGCTAGCTCCAAGTCAGCTGCCTCAGCAGGCATTGCAAGACTGCCATCAAGCTCCACCTTGAGGAAGTGCTGAGCTCCCTTTCCATTCCAGAGACATTCAAATATTTATTTATTTGTGGGGATGCTCCTTGCTCTTTTAATCTGATCTAAATTATGCTTAAAATGCAGTGTTTCGAATGTGCCTCCTACAGAAACTTCTTGTTATGCCATTATGAAGTCTTCATTATTTCTAAGACTTTATGTGTTGTTGCTTCTGTCCCTACTGATATGACATACTACAGTCTTGTCAGCTATTTTATTTTTGATGTAATGCATTAGGGAACAGATTCTGCGTGTTAAGGCTGAAGAAGATAAAATCCCTTTGCTTGTGGTGGGAAACAAATCTGACTTGGAAGAGCGGAGACAGGTACCCATTGAAGAGTCTAGAAGTAAAGCTGAAGAGTGGGGTGTCCAGTATGTAGAGACATCTGCCAAAACTAGAGCCAATGTAGACAAGGTATGGAATTTCTCTTTTTCTTTTAGGATGATATAAGACATAATAAAATGTTTATCATTCTTAACTTTATGGTTATAAAGAAACTTACAGAAATTAGAATGCAATCACTGGGATTTTTCCAAATATTCAAATTGATTAATTTGAGTATTTTGTTACTAAGCAATACTATAAGAAATGTTGGAGTTTCTTTTTTTTTCCTGTTAAAACATCAGAAAAGAGTTAACTCAAAAGTTTTGATTCATAGTGGATAACTTTGTTAAAGCATATTGAATTTTTACATAATATTTGAAATAAAGTTAAGTAATCAGTATGTTTTGGGTCAAGCTTGTTGAAGGAGGGAGGGATAGCCATTAAGTACTTCTTGTTTTGATCTCTTATTGCTAATAAGGAACAGGGATAATTCAGTCAATCCACTTCATAGAGGAGCCACTACTACTAAGAAAACATTAGCCAATTAGCCTGGTTTGGTTTTTATTGAACTTGGGTATTTCAGTTCTCTCACCCTTCAGTACCAAAAAGCACTAAAGCTACCTCTTTCTAACTTGGTGTCTAAACAATATTCATTCTTAAGGTCTAAATTCCTTAAATCTTTTTTCTCTTTTGGGTAGCCAAAACTTTTGTGAGGATATCTAGGATGGTGAGATTGTCATAAAAATTAAGTTTAGGAAAAGTGGAGCAGGGGTGGAAAAATTAGGTACCAGGGATTGCTTTTAAAGAGTACTTTTTTTTTTAAAAAGCAGATATGATTTTATTAAGTCAGTGTACTTGTCCAGAAAAACAAAACAAAACAAAACCAAAACCAGAAAGATGTGGCTTTTCCCATGTGCCATCATTTTGCATGGTCTTGTTTTTCAAATTCAACATATCACTTAGCAATCACAGAGTTAGTGATCTCTTTATATTAGTTTTATTGGCATCTGGACTTGGATCAAGGTTTTCATACATTTGTATGAATTTTTTTCATTTGGGGAGAAGAGTTATCTTCATTATGAAGAAAGAAGAGCTTTTATACACATGTGGCCAAGTATTCTGAACTAGATGTAGGGAGAATTCTGAGGAATAGTGTTACAGGATATTCACTATTAAGGACTCTCTATGAGTTATAAGCATTTTGGGGGATTTCTGTTAGGAAGATATAGTCCTACCTTCTTTAGTTAAGAATGTCTCATTGTGAAACATAACCAAATAGCAGAACATTGTTTAAAAGTCTGTTTCATTTCAGTCTTTATGTTAGTTGTTGTGTAGTTCCTGACCTCTGCTTCCTTTGAAATTAAGTGATCCTTAATCTTGGAGATAATAATAATAATAATAGTAAATGTCAGATATTGACTTTATTTTAAGCAAATAAGGAAGGCTTTCTCAATATGAAATCACTGATGAATATGTTTCTATCCACATCTGAAATTTGTTTCTCCCTTTTGGACAAGCTTTACCTGTCAAACCAGAACAAGCAGGATCTTGAAATAGTCGTATTGTTTTCACTTATAAACAGTTTGTGTGAAAGAGAACTGTTTTTCAAGACAGCTAACAACTGTTTGTGTCATCTGTTTAAATTGAGTCATCCTTTCTCCTCTGTTGCTAGAACAAAAATAACCTGAAATGTGTGTTTTATTGTTAGTAATTCACAGCTGATGATAAGTGTGTCAATTATTGGCTGGTGGTCTTTTAGGTAGTAAACTTAAAGTAAAGAGTACCTCTAGTACTTTAGGTCCAGAGTTTTCATTATCTGTTGGGGAGAATCTTTTATTGTTTGACACTACTAACACAACTGTGCATGGAATCCTATGCAACAGAGAAGTATATTCTTAGGAATAAGAGAAGGAAGGAAAACTGTGTAGTGGGAAGAGCACATGACTTGGGTCAAGTCTCCTTAAATTACTGTTTATGGAACTCTTTGGACACAACTACAAAACACTCTTTAAAAATATAAAAATAAAGATGGTGGAGTAAAAGCAGTGACTTGCTTGAGCTCTCCCCCAGCCCCCTCCAAATGTCTGTAAAAAATGGCTCTAAACAAATTCTAGAGCAGCAGAACCCACAAAAAGACAGAGTGAAACAAATTTCCAGCCTAAGACAACCTGGAAGGTTGGCAGGAAAAGTCTGTTGTGTTGGGCTAGGAAAGGAGCACAGTTCAGTGTGGGCTGCACAGGCTGTGCAGGTGAAAGCCAGGCTTCAGCAAACCTAGAGCAGTGCTCAGGGGATTGAATCAAAGGGAGCTGTGGTGGTTTCCAGACTTCTCAACCCACAAAAACCAAAGACAACTTAGAAGGTCAGTAGGAATGGTGACCTTGGTGAGAGAGGAGCTTGGTTGGGCCCCAGTTGCAGCGCAACCCTGGGACAGAGCTCTTGGCCCACAGATTGGGGGGGGAATCAAGCAGCTGATCAGAGGGGGATTGCTGGGATCTCTTTGATGGTGCTGAGGCAGGATTCTCATGCTTTGCCTGTGCTTGGATCTGGGTACCAGTTCTGGGTGGTGGTCCTGTGGTGAGGAGGAGCTCTGGCAGGGTAGAGCTTGTGGTGGTGGTGGTGTGGAGGGAATCCTTCTCACAGTTCCAAGGCAGAAAAGAGTGCTTGTGGTCACTTATAGACCAGAACACAGGCCAGGAAAAGAATAAATACCTTGCCCTTGATCATGCCATCTTGGAAGAACTGAAAACTTACAGGTCCCTAGAAGTATCTCTGAAAACAGCTACACAAAATCTTCAAAGCTTGGGACAGTACATTCTCCATACTGGAAGCAGATCCCTATCTTAACAAAGAGTTTGAAAGTCAAATAATTGGCTGGGATCATGAGCAAACTGCGCAAAAAAAAGTCAGACCATGGAATCTTACTTTGGTGACGAAGAAGATCAAAACATACAACCAGAGGAAGACAACAAAGTCAAAAGTTCCTATATCCAAAGCAGAATTGACCAAATGGAAAAGGAAGTCCAAAAGCTCACTGAAGAAAATACTTCCTTAAAAATTAGAATGGAGCAGATGGAAGCTAATGACTTTATGAGAAATCAAGACATTATAAAACAAAACCAAAAGAATGAAAATATAGAAGACAATGTGAAATATCTCATTGGAAAAACAACTGACCTGGAAAATAGATCCAGGAGAGATAATTTAAAAATTATTGGACTATCTGAAAGCCATGATCAAAAAAAGAGCCTACACATCATCTTTCAAGGAATTATCAAGGTAAACTGCCCTGATATTCTAGAACCAGAGGATAAAATAGAAATTGAAAGAATCTACCAATCACCTCCTGAAAGAGATCCCCAAAGGAAAACCCCTAGGAATATTATAGCCAAATTCCAGAGTTCCCAGGTCAAGGAGAAAATATTGCAAGCAGCCAGAAAAAAATAGTTGTGGAAACACTATCAGGATAACACAAGATTTAGCAGCTGCTACTTAAGGGATCAGAGGGCTTGGAATATGATAATTCCTGAAGGCAAAAGAGATAAGATTGCAGCCAAGAATCACCTGCCCAGCAAAAACGAGTATAATCCTTCAGGGGAAAAAAATGGAAATTCAGTGAAATAGAGAACTTTCATACATTCTTGATGAAAAGACCAGAGCTGAGTAGAAAATTTGACTTTCAAATATGAAACTCAAGAGAAACATGAAAAGGTAAACAAGAAAGAGAAATCTTAAAGTTGAATTGTTTACATTCCTACATGGAAAGATGATATTTGTAACTCATGAGATCTTTGTTAGTATTGGGGTAGTTGGAGGGAAAAAATATGTGTAGATAAAGGGCACAGGGTGAGTTGAAGATGAAGGGATGATATAAAAAAAAATTAAGGGGTGAGAGGATTATCTTGGGGGAAGGAGAAAGAGATAGGTAGAATGGAGTAGGTAAATTATCTTACATAAAACAGACAAGAAAAAGCTTTTACCGTGGACAGGAACTGGGGGAGTGTGAGAGGAAATGAGTGAATCTTACTCTCATCGGATTTGGCTTAAGGAGGGAATAACATACACACTCAATTGGGTATGGAAATCTATCTTACCCTACAGGAAAATAGGGGGGGAAAAGGATAAGAGAGGGGGAGATGATAGAAGGAAGGGCAGATTGGGGGAGGGGGTAATCAGAAGCAAACACTTCTGAAGAGGAACAAGGTTAAAAGGAGAAGAGAATAAATGGGATGGGATAGGATGAAGGGAAATATAGTTAGTTTTTCACAACATGACTACTATGGAAGTGTTTTGTATGACTATACATGTATGACCTGTATTGAGTTGCCTTCTCAATGAGGGTGGGTAGGGAGGGAGGAAAGGAGAGAATTTGGAACCCAAAGCTTTAAAAACAAATGTTAAAAATTGTTTTTACATGCAACTGGGAAATAAGATATACAGGCAATGAAGTATAGAAATCTATCCTCCCCTACAAGAAAATGGAAGGGGAAGGAGATAGGAGAAGGGGGAAGGTGATATAAGGAAGGGCAGATTAGGGGAAGGGGTATTCAGAATGCACTCTCACTTGGGGTAGGGGAAGGGGCGAGATGGGGAGAAAATTTGGAACTCAAAATCTTGTGGAAATAAATGTTGAAAACTAAAAATAAATAAATTAATTAAAAAAAACCGGGGCAGCTAGGTGGCACAGTGGATGGAGCGCCGGCCCTAGAGTCAGGAGGAACTGAGTTCAAACACTTGATATTTACTAGCTGTGTGACCCTGGGCAAGTCACTTAACCCCAATTGCCTCACCAAAAATAAATGAATAAATAAATAAAAATAAAAACAGATTTAAATAATTGGAGAGGTATTAGTTGCTCATGTTAGGTCATGTCATATAATAAAAATGACAATACTACCTAAATTCATTTATTTGTTCAATGCCAAACCAGTCAATTTACCAAAAAATCATAAAGCTAGAAGAAATTACATTTTGTCTAGGTTACAAAAAGTCAAGAATCTAAGAGAATAAAAGCAAGAAGGAAGGAAGCTTAAATAATACCAGGTCTCAAATTATACTACAAAATAGTCTCGAAAACTATTTGCTGTTGATTGAAAATCAGAAAAGTTGATCAATGGAACAAATCAACAACACAAAATACAGAAGCAAATGAACACAATAACATAGTGTTAACCAAACCTAAAAATCTCAGCTAGTGGGACAAGGGCTAAGTATTCAACAAAAACTGATAGGAAATCTGGAAAGCACTGTGGCAGAAAATAGTCTTAGACTAGCTTTCACACTACATACCAAGATAAGTTCCAAATAATACATGAGCTAAATGTAAATGTTATATTACACCTAAATTACAGGAACAGGGAAAGAAATAATTTTTACAGCTTTGAATTATTGAAGCAAGATATTGAAGGAGTCACAGGAGATAAAATGGACAATTTTGATTGCATAAAATTCAGAAGTTTTTATGTAAAATGGATGAATTAGGAGGGCAACAGTTAGCTGGTTAAAAAAGAATCTTTGTAGCAGGTTTCTCTGACAAAGTCTGATATCCAAGTTATATGAGGAAGAGATTAAAATATATAAGAATAATAGCTATTCCCCTTTAGATAAATGGTCAAAAAATGTGAGCAGGCAAATTTCAGAGGAAAAAAGCTATTCACAGCTATACAAAAATGCTCTAAATCATTAATAATAAGAGAAATGAAAATTAAAACAAACTCTCTAGGGGTTCCGTCAGATTGGCAGAGGTGAGAGAAAAGGAAAATCACAGCTATTGGAGGGGTTGTGGGAAATCAGCCATATTAATGCACTGATGGTGGATCTATAAATTAATTCAGCCATTCTGGAAAGCAATTTGGAACTATGCTCCAAAAATCACATATCCTTTGACCCATCATACCACTGGTAGGTCTGTACCCCAAAGAGATTAAAGAAAAAAAAAGGAAATGATTAGTATATACAAAAAATAGCATTTTGTTTTACATGGAAACTAAAGGGATAATCATCAGTTGGGAAACAGCTTTATGGTATTTCAATGTATTTTGTATTATACTGTAAGAAATGATCAAAGAAATGGTTTCAGGAACACCTGAGAAGACTTGTATGAACTAAGTGAAGTGAGCAGAACCAGTAGAACTATGTATATCAAAAAAATCACATTGTAAAGAAAAAAACAACTCTGAAAGACTTAAAAAAATTTGATCAATGTGATGCCCAACTTCCACTCCAGAAGACTGATGATAAAGTAAAGCTGCCTGCCTTCTCACAGAGAGGTGATGGACTCAAAGTGCAGAATTAGGCATGCATTTTTGGACATGACCATTGTGTAAATTTATTTTGCTTCATTATGCATGTATGTTATAAGTTTTTTTTTCTCCTTAGGGAGGCTAAGAAATTGTATTTAAAAAAAAAGAAAGCAAAAAGGGTCATTGAAGCATTTTTTAAAAAAATGAGCAGAAGCAAACAAAAGTTCAAAGGTTCACAGATGATCAGAAAAACTTCAAAAGTAACATACTGAATTTATGATATAGTTTTCAAAAAGCAAGCTTTGCATAATAATGATTTTGTGGTTTCATGTAGAATCTTCATTTGCTTTACTTTGGGTAGCAAATACTGAAAAGATTTTTTAAATGTCTACTGGTATTACTTTAATATTTCCTCCCCATCTTGCTTATCTATAAAAAAAGAGGGGCTTCAATTAAATGATTTTCAGGGTTTCTCCCAACTCTTAATGCTGTGCATAAGACGATGAAAAAGTTTTTGTCCTTTTTTGACTTGTGTAAGGGTGAGCATATCCATCCAAATTGTGTTTTTTAGGATTCTTTGGAATCAAAACAAATACTTTTGATTTGTCTCCATCAATTTCTGAGAGAACTGGGTTTGTGAGAAAGGGATGATTCATAATAGGGATAAATGACTTGTCCAGGGTCTCACTACTAGGAAGTGTGTAAGGTTATATTTGAACTCAGGTGTTTCTGATTTCAGGACTGATGCTCTAGCCATTGTGCCACCTACCAGCCCAGGTATTTGTTTCCTTTTTCTTTGAGAAGATCTGAAAATGTTTAATAGCCTTATCTTTTTTTTGGGTGGAGGGGAGGGTTTATACAAACTTTCTGGAACACTAGAGCAAGGGTAAGGGTTGTTCCTGTGAATTGAAGATATAATAAAATTTTGAAGCTATTGGGTATAAAAGTACAGGCATACGTCAACAAAACACTAGAATTAAAAAAAGGTAAATGAAAAGAATATACAGTATTGGTGGATTTACAGTTTTGGGGGATTGATAATCACTGGGATAAGAATTATCAAGCTCCTGAGAATTTCAGGGCAGAGTATAGCATAGTCATCGTGGAATTGCAAAAATTTATCCCAGCAACTTTAAGGTCACAACATTAAAGTTGCACATTGTAGTACAAAACTCCTAAGAGCATTGTGAAATTGGGGGGAAGGTTAGTGGTGTTGGAGATAGACAGTCCTTCAAAAATTTATTATATCCTCAGTTCATAGGAACAACTTATCCTTGCTGTAGTGTTCCAGAAAGTTCATATTAATCCTTTCCACTCCCCAAAAGAGAATCTGGGAGAGTTATCAGAGGCTCAAAGAGAGTTAGTGACTTGTGCAGAGTTCCCAAGCTAGTTGTGTTGTTAGTGTGTTTCAGCATCTCTGAATCCATCATTGGTCAGAAATTGATCAAAATTCTTATAGTGACTTTCAGTTCTTGTCTTTTTATATTATTGTAGTTGTAGCTGTTCTGTTTTCTTTGCTTTCTGTTTTCAGTTCATACAAGTTTTCCCATGTATCTCTGAACTTCTCACATTTGTCATTCCATTTGTTCATTAATATCCTATAATTTATATACTGTAATTTGTTGAACCATTTCTCAGTTGATGAGTACCTGATATTTCCAGTTTTCTGTTTCTACAAAAAGTGCTGCTATGAAAGTTTTAATTAAAATTTATAGACCCTTCCTTTAGGTTATATGCTCAGTAGAGGCATTTCTGGATCAAAGGACATGGACTGTTTAGTCACTTTTCTCACATAATTTTATGAAGGTTTTCACCTTCTTTCTGCCACTGTATTTTGTTTTTGTGCTTCACAAAAACAATAACAACAAGCTTATTTTAAAGCAGATTGCTAAATGACTAGTAACAATTAAGAATACCCTTTTCCATTCTCTTCTTTTGATCATTTACATGATATAAACATCATTAATCTATTCAATTGACAACTATATTCAAGTAATTTTTGTTCTTTGCTTTAGGTCCTATGTTCTTGGCGTATTTTTTTTTACTTTTTTCAAATTTAACTTTGATTTGTGCTTTAGCACATCATTCTGATTTTATTGCTTTGTATAATTATGTTTGGTAAAATGGCCTTCTTTTCCCTCTTCTTTATTCTCCTCTAGGTATTCTTTGATCTAATGAGAGAAATAAGAGCAAAGAAGATGTCAGAAAACAAAGATAAGAATGGCAAAAAAAGCAGCAAAAACAAGAAAAGTTTTAAAGAAAGATGCTGTTTACTGTGATTGCTGAGAACATGGATCAAATCTGTCAGTTGCCACTGAGAACATAGTACTGGATTCATGAAAGGAAGACTGTATTTCTTTACTTGTACTGTCTTTTCTTTTTATTCGATTCATGCATTACTTCTTTAAATGAAAAAAAAATTGTGAATCAGTCAATAGCTGGCAGAAAAAATGACTCATTTTCCATGGAGTGAAACTATTCCTCTGTCAATTTTTTTTAAACTGAAAGCTTAGAAACAACAAACTTAGTACCACAAGCAGAAAGTAATCCAGTGTTAATTTTAAAAATACTGTATTGTAGCTTATGATATTTTTCCAGTTTATAACATCACCATTTCAGTCAGAAATTAAAATTTTCTTGTTTTCTTTAGGTTTGGGGAAGGAAAACCAGACTTTCTTCTACACACAGCAATCTAACACTTTACCATTTTATTAATGGCAGTCAGAAAAATCATTAAATTACAAAGCAAGTGGTTTGTTTGTGTTTAATGACTTAAGTAAAATTGAGTGACTTTTACAGTCAGATTTTCTTAGTATTTCCCAGAAGAGTCCAAAAAGTAGCTAAAATGTAAATTTGAGTTGTCTCAACTAGGTCATTGTGAAGTTCATAAACCTTATTCATACACACTTAAGGTATGAAATGTAATCTGTCCTGGCTTTATTTTTGTTTTTCTTTTAATATTTAAATATTGGCTAGTTTTACCTTATTGTCTGGTTCTTCCCTAAGGGTCCTAAGATTGTGTCGGAACTTTAAAAAAAATGCACTTTCTTATACTTCACCTTTTATAGCTTTTTAATTAAAAACAAAACAAAACCAACAACAATTATCCCAAAACATACTTTAAAATTTCATGCCTATGCTAGCTTCACACAATAATTGGCATTAACAATTTACAAGGACCATTTTATCCCCAAAGTAATTGTCATCATTTAAAAATTATATTTTTTCTAACAGCACTTGATAAACTCCTGTGCATGGAGTAAATGTTGCTGATGCTCTACTTTGTTTCTTTACCTTGTTTAGTTTAATACAAATGCTTTGGAAGAATGATGAGCTACAGTTGTAACCTAAAATCATGAAGCCAGAGCCAGTGCCAGACATTTTGCTACCTCTCACAGAATTACTCAGTAATTCTAAATTTAAATCAGAAAAACGGTGAGGAGAGTGAAGGTAGGCCACTGCCATGTTCTCTCTGGTTGCAGTTTTTCATATGGTTTTCTTCTGACAGACATATTAACATTTAGAAAGAGATTTTTAATGATGGAAGAAAAACGGTTAAGTGTAGCTGTCCTACTTGCTGCTGCCATATTTCTAAGCTGAGCAATCACGCAAATTTTGCCAGAAGGAAGAATAATATGGTTTTAAAAAAAAAGTAAAAAGTTAGCTGCCTTTTCTTTTCAGTAAAAATGAGACTTCAAGTGTGGGTGCCAAAAAGAAAAACACTCTCTATTTTATTGTTACAGAAATTGTAAAGATTATGATTTTGATTTGGAAAACCATCTTGTATAACTTCCCAATGAATCATGAACTTTTTTTTGGAATAAAAAAACAGACAAAAACTTCTGAATTTGGGCCTTTTTATTTTACGTTTTGTTACCATTCATTCACACTTTGTTGAGTGTACCTATATAGTATGCAAGGCACTCTGCTGGTGAGGTGAAAAGGAGTAAAAAGAAAACATTCTTCCTTTTATTTATTTTCTCATGCTTGAATCTCTACCACACAAACATTATTATTTGTGTTAGCTCTCTGAAATTGGAGAAAAGAAACAAGATTACAAATATTAGTGTCACTTTAATCTTCATGAATCCTTCATTGAGCTATTATTCAATGTGATTAGCTTTATTCATTTAATTGAGCATCACCTTTTAGAAATATTTATTGAGATCTCTCAAATAAATCTAAATGTATGGTGAGGAAGTATGTAAATTAGAGAGCACAACTTTAAATCTCAGCTCTATCACTTTCCTTTGTGACCCTGGGCAAGTCACAACTTCTGTGAACTTGTATTTCCTCAGCTGTGAAAGGAGGGAGTTTGACTAGAAGGCCTTTAAAGCCTCTTCCAATTCTAAAACTGTGATTCTGTGAAGTAGTTTCCTAGATTTTCTGATTCTGTCTTTTCCCCACATTTTGCTTGTGTTACATAGACGATCTTGTGACTGGTTTGGAAAGCGTGTTTGGGATGTATTTGTATTGTGAATACTAGATATTGTAACTTGGACTGTGGAAATTCCTTTTGGTATTTGTAATTGGTGTTTTAAAAAAATCATGCTTAACTGAATAGCAATAACTAGAGATGTTTAGTCTTTATATTAAGGATTTGTATAGACACTTATTTTCATTTGAAAAACAAAAGACAGTTTGCCTTATTTGAAAATTTGAGATAGTCATTTATTAGCCCACTGGATGATGTTAGTGTCCTATAATTTGGACTTGTTCTCCCCAGTTATTTATATCTTTGTATACTCTTATGATCTGAATGCTGAGGGAGTACATACAGTGATGAGATCACATGTCCTTGAAATACAGAAATTGTACACACACACACACACACACACACACACTCATTGGGGGTTATTGGAAGAAAAAAGGAACAGTAGTTAGGTATATTATTATAATTGTAGGACTTAAAAGTGGCAAATCAAGAAACATGGATTTTGTATTCAGCTGGAAATCGAAACATAGTGAAAAAAAAATAAGCCACAGAATCTCAAAACTGTGAATAGTTATGTCCAAGTCATATCCTAAGACCTAAGTAGATTCAGCTTTTATGTTTTCAGATATGTGAATATTTTTTTCATTGCAAACCAGTGTTTAAGAGTTTGGAAGATGTTTACTTGGATAACTTGGCCATATTAAGATATTACAAAGTAATATTGAAGGACTAATTCATAGGACTTTATAACAATTTTCATTTTGTAGGAACATAGTAATTGCCGCAGCTGAACAGCCTAGTATTTATTCTGTTGCCAACAGAGATTGTCTATGACATGTGAGAAAGTACAGTTATTTCCCCAGCATAGAATATTAGTTTTTGAGATAGGGCCTTTAGATTATCTAGTCCAATTTCCTCATTTTACAGAAGAGAAAATTGAGACCTGAAACAATGATGTGACTTAATTGTTCAGGGTTATACATCAGCCTTAAAGGGCAGGTATTTATAAATTTTGTCCATGCCTCTTTTGAATTCATTTGTATAATGTATCAGCTCTTCCCTATCTAAACCCCCCCCGCAATGAATTTGTAAAGTGATATTTGTTTTATTTGTCTTTCCACTTATTTAAATTTATAAAGAGTGTGCCCTCTTGCCTCAGATTTCAGGATTTGATCTAATAATTATTTTCTTGATGTTAATGATTTTACAGACATTGACCATGAGACTTTGGACTGACTTCTATTTTAAAATCTTGAGGTATGTTTTGCATAAATTGTATATTCATTCAGTGTTCTTTATCTTGCTCTCAAGCAATATTTCCTTTTGCAAAATGAACATGGGAACTGTTGAGTTGTACTACTTGACATGCTGTTTGAGTTCCTTCATTAAATTCTAGTTTTCTATAAAGCATTTGGAGAAGCTGTTTGTTGAAAATTTCAAAATCATGCTGATTTGAGCAGCTTACAGTTTTTTACACTTCTAACCAGATGACTAATTTCCACTGTTTAAGTAGGGATAAATGAACAGAAAAAAGTTTCCCACAGGTTTTTTTTAGTTCAAGTGCTAAATCATGTTCTAACATAATATAGCTGTTCATCTCTCTTCTCTTATTTTTGGCCACTAGTTTCAGTTATACTATATTTGGCATATTGCCAGAATGACTCATTACCACACAAGTAACACATTAAGTCAAAATTGGCATACCTGGTTGTGTAACAGTAGCCTAGTAACACTAGAGAAGTGAGGACTGAGGCTTATGTCCAGGTTGGCAGGGAATGCTTGTTAAAACATTATGCTAGCCCTTTGAGTGGGATTTTTTCCCCCAGCTACCTTGGGAAAGGAAGGAATTGATAACAGTAGGTGTTGTAATCTCTTCCTCTGTTTTTAATTGCAATATTAGGTGGTATACCAGGGTTTGAGAAAGAAATGAAGTTAAGGAAAGGAGAATTGAGTTCTACTAGGACTCAATCTGACAAGGAAGTCAGAATGTTACTCCCTCTCCCTCTCCCCTCCCCACCCAAACCCACACAACACACATACCCCAGGGGCAGGGAGTTAGTGGGGAGGAAAGGCAAAGGGAGAAAAAGTTTTATACTTGGTAGTTCACCTATTAAAAGTGACCTAAGATGGTCTGAATGATGCACAGCTTGATACAAAGGGATGGACTACAATTCTTGATTAATACCCTTCTGTAGTTACAGATGGCAAAAATTTTTTTCTTACCAGCCAATTGGTTTCACCAGTAGAAAATCAGTATAGTGTATTTTTTTTTTAAATTTAAGCTTAATGTAAAAATGCAACAGGTTTGACTTATAACTCCTATTGTGAGTTACTGTTGAACCTTCTGTATGTGCCCAAGGTCAATAAAGACTACAAAACTTTAAAAACAACAGAAAACTTAGAACTAAAACTGGCTTCTACGTGTTAGGGCAAGTTAAACAGACGTTAGTGTTTCATGTAGTTTTTCTGGATGAGAAAACTGAAGTAGAAAATCACTCTGGAGTATAATTGTGAATTTAATATAGTATTTTCAGTGGTTACATTAAATATGCCCCTTCTAAATAATGAGAAATTGTGAAGGAATTTTGTTTTTCATACTGTGGGCTCCTAAATTATCTCAAATATAGTTGAAATTGCATTGATGAGATAAGAAAATAAGCCCATTTTAATTTAAAATAAACCCATTTATATAAAGTGATGACTTTGGGGGTTATAGACTGGACCTATGATTTTATTGATATAGAGCTTTGCTTTCTCTTCTCAAGGATGCCTGTGGTGCATGTGAGATGCTCAACAGTTATCTCTTGTTTTCACCACAAATCCAACCCATCTTCATTCGTACGTGTGTGTGTGTGTGTGTGTGTGTGTGTGTGTGTAAATAATCAGTTTTAAGGGTAGATTCCAGAATCCATAAGCAGTTTTATTTTTTAGAATTTTGTTTATTATCCTAGCTCTTATGTCTTATAGGATCTTAGCAGTATCTGCTAACAGAATCGGCTTATTCCAATAAACATTCTGACAAGTGCAATAATTATTCCTAAATGCAGGGGCATAAGAGTGTTTCATTGCTGTTTTATACCAAATGGACTTTCAAGGGTTTTCTGCTGTAGATGTTTGTTTTTTGCAGTTAATGGTAAGGAAGCCTTTTCTGAATGTTACTTTCAATGCCTAATTTAAATTTATGACTCTGGGTCTTGGTCACTTTTGCCTTGAATAGATGATAACAGATTTTAGCCTTTATTTTCTGAAACAGCTCATACTACCTAATGGAAATTAGCTCCAATCCAAGAATCATTCTACATTTTATTCTTTTCAAAACAAAGGGCAGAATATATAACAATATGGACTGCTAAAATTTTAATTCCTATAATCTTCTACTATCTATTTTATAACTCTTGTTCAGTGATATCTACTGCCTACCTCTGATAAAATCTGATCATTTGAATTTAGAAATAATGTGCAGGAATGTGATTTTTGCATAGATAACATCTCATAGAGGGAAGAAGAAGCAGTGAAACTTTTCTGTTCTATTTAATTTACGTATGGTTCAAATGGCAGTGGAAGCACATTTCCAGAAAAATAATTACTTGGTCATCTCTAAAACTTAGCTGCTTTGTTTATATCGCTGTTTTCAAGACTACTTTAGTGATCTACATTTATGTCCTTTGGATTTTCTCCAGACTTTTCTCATCTATCATATCCTGTGATTGAATATAGATATTTTGAACTTATTCTGTCTTTTGGTTTATTTTTCTACCTTATTCTAAAGCACTTACTTTTGATGTCCTACTTCCTTTTCAAACTAACTGTATACTGCAGTTTCCTAGAGCTATTAATACTTTTATATGATGATTTATTTAAAATAAAATTGAATTATACTTATTAGTATAGAATGTGAAGGCAAATGTAGTCAGAAATGCAAATGTATCTTTAAGAAAATCTGATCAATGGGCCACTAGGTGGCGCAGTGGATAAAGCATCAGCCCTGGAGTCAGGAGGACCTGAGTTCAAATGTGACCTCATACACATAACACTTGCTAGCCATGTGACCGTGGGCAAGTCATTTAACCCCAATTGCCTTATGCCCCCCCCCAAAAAAAAGGTAAGTTAAAAATAAAAGAAAATCAGATCAAAACAAATTTAGGAAGTAACTATTTACATTACAATGAGGTTCTTAATTTCTCTATTTGTGTAGTAAGCATAGTATCATCCATCCCTCTTAACTCCCAGGGTGGTTGTTAGGATCAAATTAGATAGATGATGTATTTGAAAACTACAAAGCATGATGCAGGATTCCTGATTGCATGTAAAAAGATTTGATTTTTAACAATTGATTTTACAGACAAGTTGGCAGAAAACTATTTATTGTATGAAGTGAGATGTATTTGTGGTATTAAAAGATCCCTTTCTCT